TTCAGTTTTAACACCTCTCTTCAGACAGGAAGTTTCTGCAGAGCTGAATTTACTTTTGGACCCGCATCTATCTACTTATGCAAAAATGCTAATTAGTATGCACAGCACTCACACATACCAGTAGAAGTTCAGTTAATATATGACCCTTACATGACCAATACAAATAATTGTTTGATTAAAAGAAAAAGAGACAAAAATAATAAAAAAAGGATTCCTATTTTCCAACAGTACTGTAGTAAATATAATATAATATAATATAATATAATATAATATAATATAATATAATATAATATAATATAATATAATATAATATAATATAATAGTGAGTTAGTCCGTGTGAAATCAAAATGTGATTTTTAAAGCTTTTATTATGCTTATGTTAGCCTGAAGTTTATCTAGTATGCTTCAAAATAATGGCAGAAATCGTGCACACTTTCACTTCTGTCAGCATGGATCAATGATTTTCACTACCATGTGTGATTTGATTTCTACTGTACATAGCTGTTGCAACAGTGTATTTATACTGTCAATATTTGTAGTAATAACTTGTGCCATTCTCCTGGAATATGTTACATTTCTGTTTTAGGCGCAGTATCAAATGTTTACACAATGGTTTATGTGAAGAAATGCCTCCTGTACAATGTAAATATATATTGACTTTGACTTTGGCTTAGGTCTTCAAAAGTTCAACAAGCCAACTTGTCGCATTGTGGGTTTGTAGCTCTGCTAGATGTTGTGCTAGTACAAAGTTTGCTTTCATCCAATCATTGATAAGACAAGTTAATGTTTAAACAGAACACTATGATCACTTAAGATCCCTGCAGAAGCCCTGAGCACCGATTGTTATCTGTGCTCCAGAGATAAATGTTTGTGTTTTACAAGATTGGGCCCAAGACTTATCTCTGAGATAAAGTTGTAGGGGATCAAAGGCTTACAGCATCTCATGTGGCCTGACATGCTAAAGGATCTGTTGTTATTCTTAATGGAGTTTAAATTAAGTTAATGGATGAACTGGAACAACTGGTTTGCACTATAAGTGCTGATCCAGCAGCTAAAAAACTTTAATTCTCAAGAAATTACAGCAGCTCCTTTGTAATCAGTCCAGACATACAGTATGCAAAACATGCCACACAGTGTTCCTCTGACACTGATGACCTTGAGTAACTTGTGAACCAGAGGTGACATCTGGCCTTCCACATTCTCAAGTGTTTTGAATATTTGTTGTTATAAAATGGATAGTTCTGTATCTTGATGCTGATTGGTCAGTTGCCTTGTTTTATTGACCATAAAGACAACACAAACTCCAACAAGTAAGTCTGTTGCCAAGTTTTTTTTTTTTTGTTTGTTTTTTTTTTACCCAAGTGAACATGCTTAATTGGAATTTGTTAGATTAAGGAATGTCTGAATAGTGTGATATGATTTTCAAAGAAATAGCAACAAACTCTAACTTACAGACTTAATCAGACCACGGACCAGATAGGCTTCACATAATTGTCTTTTTAGTCCAGAGAAGGATAATTTTATTTAATTGTTTAATTGTTGTGCGTGACAATTGTTGGGGCAGTGTGAACAATTGTAATTTTTTCACAACATGCTAAATGCAACGCAAATCATGTTTGTTGGTGTTTATTGGTGTTTGTCTTTGTGGTGTGAATTGGCCTAAACATATGCAATGTCATATAAAACTTGCAACATGAATTATCGATATACTGTCAAAACTCTTCCATTTGTATTTTAGGGGAAATAAACTGTTATTAATTTAATGAAATATGAGTGACCCCTGCTGGAATTATGTTGTGCCATTATTCTGAGTTAACTGGATTACCATCAAAGAGAACCTTCTTATGTGAGAGAACAAACATTTTGTCATGTGAGATGTAAACGTGTATGTGTGTCAGCAGTTCGCCAGTAAATTACTGTAAATCAATTACAGCAATAATACTATATTTACAGCAGCATTTCTCTTGCTCTATATATGTATTTTGGAGTATTGTATATCTTTACTGTAAAATATACAGTAATTTTCACAATGCAACATTTAAAATACAGTAACATACTGCAGAACTATCTTTCAGTGAAAAAACACTAACTACTGAGGCAGTTATTTTGTAATTTAATAATTTTGTTACATTAAACCCTATTCATCTATTAATAATAGATAATGAATCTAAAAGCTATAAATAATATAAACAATAGCAATAAACATATCTAAATATAGTAACTATTGTAGGCTGACATTTGCTAAATGTGTGTAGATTTTATTCTAACAGATATTTTATTAAAATTACAAAGCGCAAAAGACTTGTGGGTATTTTCACCTTGAATAGCCATAACAGTCAGATTTGCCACATTTTTCTCATGCTTTTGAATATGCACGCCTCTGTTGCTTAACAACTTTAGGATAGCAAAAGCATAACTTTCTGATAGCAAAAACATAGCTTTATCTTAGAAATGTCTTTCAAAACAACATTTTTTACTATGGTGAAAAAACTTCTCAGATTTTCCAGATTTCAAGAGTTCACAAGTAGCTGATGATTGAAAAGCTTGTTTGGCATGCTGTCCTAGAAGAGAGCCCTGAGCTTATAAGATCCTCAAGCCAGCGTCTCCCTTTCGTTTGCAGGACGAGAGGGGAGTTTGAGCTCAGGTAGGTCTTTTGTCCATATACTGCTGTTTAAGAGCTCGACTATAGTGTTAATTTAGGTTGATTGATTCACTTATGATGCTTGATTTTGGACTGTGGGAGGAAACCAGAAAACCTGGGGGAAACCCACGCGAGCACAGGGAGAACATGTCAACTCTGCACAGAAACGACAACTGGCCTGTTAAGGATTTGAACTGGTGACATACTTGCTGTGAGGCAACAGTGCTAACCACTGAGCCATCGTGCTGAAGGAAAAGGTGGAGGAGTAGGGGTGGAAGGGGGAATTCTTCAAGGCAAGATAACTGAAGTAAGAAACTGGTTATTTGTAGTGAGTTAGGAACCATCTGATTGGTAAATCATGAGTTAATGTGGGACTAGCTGTGATCAATCATAAGCATGTGCTCCTCTCAAAATTAGTTTATAAATAAACTTCAGAAAGCGAGGTATGCACTTTTATAAAAAAAAAATTCCGTTTCCATTTTCTGAAATTGTTGAAATAGTAAATCATACCATATGCTACTGTTTTGATACCCTTCTGTTGGGGTGCCTAACACAATACTGTGGTTCCTAAAGGGTGAAACTAGAATTACTGTAAAAAGTTGCTTGATTGACAAACAATCTTCATTTCTCTGCTCCAGCATGTCTGTCCGAAAGTTAGATCCTATCACCAGGCCCATCCCAGAGCTTGTACTTTCCAGCCCATCCCAGAGCCAGGAACAGACCATGGCCTGATAGACCTGTGCTCAGTAGATCCAGATTCAGGCCTGGATTGGCCAATCGGGAGGACCGGGAGAGTTCCTGGTGGGCTGGTCCGTTTTTTGGGCCGGTGTTTCTAGCTGCTTGCACTCTCAGCAGTCGCACTTTTTTCCATTTATTTATTTATTTGACCATAGCCTCACTCTTTTTATTCATTATATTGCCGTTGCTCTGCTCTTCTTATTTATTGTCTCGCAGCCCCATGAGCAAAATGCAGCCTGCAGGGTAATTATGGTGTAACTATTATTCCGGCCACACAAGAGTAACAGCGCCATTCTGGGCCAGTGGTCAGTACGTTGCGTAACGTGTTCGATCCTCACTTGAGTAATTCTTTTTTTTTTTCATTTTTATTGTTAAGACATATAAAACTGTAAGGTTTTTGAACATTTGAAGTTCTAAAGCAGCTGTTTTCTTGAAAAAGACGTGATAGTGTAATTAGAAACTGAATCGGAAATGACCTTATTTTAATAAAGTCAGTCGTGAACTGAAGTGGGCCGGTCTAATGCTGGAAACTCCAGGGCTGAAAAGGAGTCCCACTCCGGCCCTGTCCAGATCCCACTCTAATCACCTTTTAACTCACCCGGCTCTGCTTCATAATTCAGTCCATTTCCCCAAAGCTTCTTTTCTCTCTGCCCTGTTTTGGCATCTTTTGTCAACTTCAACAGTTCCTTGTCCAGCCCCAAGACCCTCTCGCACCCCCTTGGTTAGACATTTTTCTATGAAACAAGCACTCACCTCAGGTGATGCTATGATTTTGTTATGTTTACTTTTATTTTGACATTCTGTTCTCATGTGGTTAGTTCCTGTTTCCCAGCTTTGTTTAATTCTAGATTCTGATTCTTGTTTGTTTCTCTTGTAACCTGTGATTTATAGCATGTCTTGTTGCGTTCTCGGTGTAAATACACCTCATGGTTCAGTTCTCTCGCTTAGGATTGTTTTTAGTGTGGTTTTTGTTGTATTCTCCTGTGTGTTTTTAGTTGTGAATTAAAATCTATTCATAATTCTTGAGTCATTTCACTGTTTCAAAGTTTAAGTATGCTGATCTCTGACCTGCGAATTAGCATCACATGAAGGTGTGAAACCAGTGCAGTGTAATCTGCAGTACTTGAATAACGTGAATGGAGACTTTTTATGTTGTCATATTGCAGTCTGCATAGAAATGTGATTGTCCAATGGTCAAATGATCAAATAATTTAGATTTTAGTCATCCAACAAATACAGTTTCAGATCAGCTGGAAATATAGTTTTCACTTTTACAGCATATTTCATTGAAGATAACTAATTTTCCCCCACCAATTTCCTGTAAACATTTCTGTTACCGTCCCACTGTTTAACACAATGGATGACAGATTGAAAATAAACTCCGTTTACACAAAAGTTTGGCCTTGAAGCAAAGTGAGATTTCTCTTTAAGACATCTTGCTCAGTGTCTGAGGCATGGTCTGGGAGGAGGCTGGAATCAACCTCCTTAACAATACAAAAAAAAGTTGAATCTCTGACCATAAATGTCTGCTCGTGTTGAAAATTATCACCCCTGGATCGAGTCGCAGAACATCTGGACAGCACATCCCAGTTCTCCTTTAAGACGGAGGAAGCGTTGAGAGGTCCCACAGAGTTTCTCTTCAGGATGAGCTCAACACATGTACTGCAGGCTCTGTGCCTACTGATGCTTTTCTCCATGACCACCGCTCAACAGGGCTACATGCACGAGAGTGGTGAGGACTGGGTGAACGCCTGGCGCCAGGGCTTCAACTTCCAGTGTCCCCATGGTGAGGTGTTAGTGGCAGTCAGGAGTTACTTCAGTGAGAAGGAAGGCTCGGACCGGCTGTGGAGCTTCGAGTGTCAAAGGACTCCTTACGGCTGGGGAGAGCCCAGTGAATGCTGGTGGGACGACATCAACAGAGCTGGCATGGAATGGTATGTCTGTATGATATTGACATGTTTGATAATATAATATGTGTCCTTGCTATCATGATTTGTAAGAAAATGTTCTTTGAAGAAAAGATAAAGGACCAATTGGATAATATTTTACAACATTACTTTAACATTATTGAACAAGTCTGTTCAATACTAAAATATTGAAATATACAAATATATATAAATATATATATATATATATATATTTTCAATATTTTATATATATGTATGTATGTATGTATGTATGTATGTATGAAGAGTTCAGATGCAAAAACCTCTAAGTGGCATCTGAAATTTCCATCAAAAATTAATATTTTTCTTAGCCTCCTTTGTTTATGTTGAGTTGTTTCACTTTAAAGATGACTGTACCTACACACAGGAACCTGATACAAATGCTTATTTAAAAAAAATAATTCAGATGACATTTAGAGGTTTTTATATCTGAAACTATATATGTATATATATATATATATATATATATATATATATATATATATATATATATATATATATATATATATATATATTGGCCCCCTTTGATATTTTTATTCTTTTTTAAATATTTTACAAATGATGAACAGAGCAAGGAAATTTTACAGTATGTCTGATAATATTTTTTCTTGTGGAGAAAGTCTTATTTGTAATATTTGGGTCAGAATAAAACCGTTTTTAAAAAAAAAAAAACATTTTAGGGACAGAATTATTAGCCCCTTTAAGCTGTATATATTTTTGTTAATCTACAGAACAAACAATCATTATACAATAACACACACATATATATATATATATATATATATATATATTCTTTTTTTTTTGGAAAGCTATTTAGTTATAAGTAGTACTATATGCAAACACTACATTGTTATCCTTTGTGTTGCAAAAATCCATTGTTTATTTAATACCATTTTACGTCACTGTAGAAGAAAATACCATAAAATGCCCCTGATGTTTCAGTCAGTGTCATTTTTGAAAAATGTGTTTAATACTGAGATACGAATAGAATGTAGATGCATTTAAATAGAATATTTTGGTCAGTTTGAAAAACTGTTGTAATGCAAAAATGCTTAGTTTTTACTTATATTTTGACATTTTTTATTGTCCAGTCATTATACATCAATTAAAATGGTTTAGATGTAAAAAACAAACAAACAAACAGGTCACACTTTACAATAAGGGCTTAAAAATAATCTAAGTTAATGTTTTTATAACATGACAAATTTACAATACATGAATTGCATTTATTGCTAATCATCATTAAAATTAAAGTTGTGTTTTTAACATTAATTAATGAGTTAATATGAACTACAATGCACAGCTTTACTGTCTTTAACTAGCATTAACAAAGATGAATAAACACTGAGATTTTGCAAATCTCCCCACCAATACAAATAAATGAATGAAAGACTGATTAAGATGAGGAATATTAATCTCAACTTCCATGTGCTCATAAAGCACAGTTAAAAATCACCACAGTTGATCACAGTTGTGCTGTATTTATCAAAAAATTATGTAAGGGCAAATAGCAACAGACATCAGATATCACAACTAAAACTTATGTAATGTTGCTGTAGTTGAAATGAAATGCTAAACTGTTTTAATAGGTTCAGCTATGGCAAATGCTTAATCTCCTCGGGATTTAAATTTTGACTGGAATGCTTTGGTATTTTTTGGACAGTTGCTACACAATTAAACAGATGCTGTACAGATTGTCTTTGTTTGTATGATAACATTCACTCTAGCTGAAAAGATCATTAAATTAAATCCTGATGTTTCAGCAATATGAGTTTTAGAAAGCTTATTTCAACTTTATTTAAAAAAATATTCTATTAGACAGTGATTTGAAAATAATAATAAAAAATACTTATGTGTAATAACATTTACTGTAACAGAAAAGCCTTAAATGACACCCCGATGTTTCAGTCAATATAATTTTTTAAAAAGTGGAGATAAATGGAGAGTACAGATTAAATTAAACAAAATTTGAGGCCAATTTAACTCTAACGCTGGCTTCAAGTCTCTATTAAACATAAACATAAATGAATGTGAGACTTAGATAAGGAATATCACCAATTTTGGACAGTTATTTGGAACAAGTTTTGACACTATACAGACTGTGAATGTTTTTCTGCTCACCGTGCCTGAGAACTTTTGGTGTGCGTGTGTGTGCTTGGTTTACACTAACTACAGTGGAGAGCTCTCTTGCATGTATGATTAGTCTCAGATGTGAATGTTTACAGCAAAAAAGTTAATGCTAGCTTTCAGAGGCGAGTTCTTGCTTTGACAACATCATGATAATTTGTTTGTCTTATGGGAAACAATGAATGTTTCTTAAATAGGACTGGAGAGAGACGAGCAGATGTTTGGGTCAACCCAGATTTCCTAAATGTCATTTAATCCTGGCCTCAGGTCAGCTGTTCTCCCCAAACCACAAGCCAACGGAAAGATAATGGCAACACTTAAGTTTAAGAGCCTTGTTTACTGCCAAAATGAAACGTTAACAATCTGCCACAAAAGTGCCTCAGACAAGTTTGAATGTATATCTGTGAAGCACTTTTAGTAGCATGACATCTCATTTAGAAAAACAATGTGACATTTTAATGTTATAGGATGTACTTTGGCATTTGTTTTTGTTGAAGCGCTGCAAAGTTTGCGGAGTTCATTCCCAGCACAGCATCTCATCCCTGACGTGTTGTTATTTCTGTTGGATTACATGCAATCTCACCTGTAGTGCTAATATTTCTGAGATCAGTTATTGCTTTATATGGCTATACATTTCTACATACACCCACGGCCACTTTATTAGGTACACCTGTACAACTGCTCGTTAACACAAATTTCTTATCAGCCAGTCACATGGCAGCAACTCAATGCATGTTGACATGGTCAGGACGATCTGCTGCAATTTAATCCGAGTTTCAGAATGATGAAGAAAGGGAATTTAAGTGACTTTGAACGTGGCATGGTTGTTGGTGCCAGACAGGCTGGTCTGAGTATTCCAGAAACTGCTGATCTACTGGGATTTTCACACACAACCATCTCTAGGGTTTATAGAGAATGATCCGAAAAATAGATATAATCCAGTGAGCAGCAGTTCTGTGGGTGCAAATGCCTTGTTGATGCCAGTCATCAGAGAAGAATGGCCAGACTGGTTCCAGCTGATAGAAAGGCAACAGTAACTTAAATAACCACCGTGTGTTGGAACGGGAGATTGGCATCATGGATGTGCAGCCGACAAATCTGCAGCAACTGCGTGATACTATCTTGTCAATATGGAGCAAAATCTCTGAGGAATATTTCTAGTACCTTGTTTAATCTATCCCACAAAGGATTAAGGCAGTTCTGAAGGCAAAAGGGGGCCTAACCGGTACTAGTAATGTGAACCCAATAAAGTGGCCTGTAAGTGTATATAGCCATACGTTACTGTTATTTTTACATTACTGTAGTTTAGTACTGTGTAGCAGTAACTGTTTTGGTTTCTGCATGTATTATGAAAAACGAACTTTGCAATATGAAGAGTTTATTAGAAAAAAAATGAATTAAATTAAATATTAGTAATTGTCAGATAACATGCTTTTATGTTTTGTATTGCAAATCAAACAATTCTCATGTTGCCTGGGTAAATTTCAGCAATAGCCAAAAATATATTGTATGGGTCAAAATGAAAAAGACGTAAAGATTAAGATTAAGGAAGGATTATGTTACATAAAGATATTTTGTAAATAAATCAATGCACAATTTTTGATTTGAAGTTTGCATAGCTATAACCTAATTTGATTTATGATACATTTTTATTTTATTTCTAAAATAAAATTCATTTAAAATATTATATAGGCCTGACATTGTTCTATAACCATACATTAGCAGAAATTTTATTTACTGAGATTTAGGGTGATGTATCAATCTCAATTAAAACAAAATTAAAACTTAAGACTTTTGATTGTGTTGTTCAGGGTCACAGTTATTAAAATTACTCAAACTAAAGTTTCTTAGTCATTTTTAGAAATCATGTTTTTACAATAAAGAAAACAATTGCAAACAATTAAAGAATGAACTCTTCATGGAAGTGAGGCTCTCAGTTAGTTGTCAGATAATTACCAGATTAACAGCAATAACTGGGAGCAATATGAAAGTTTTCTCTAATAAGCTTGTGATATTTTAGATGACATGACAAGTTCATGTTCAATAAAATAAATTTATATAAAAAATTGCATTACTTCACAGTCTACCATAGTATATGCACATTTGGTCTGTTGTTCTAAAATAATTGTACACACCATTCTCTCATTATTGCCAGGTTTATACAGAGAGCCCAGGACTAATTCACACAGTGAAATCCTCCATTTAAAGGCTTATGAGCAGTCTCTGCACTGAACAGTATAAGCTTTGTTGTTTTGAACACATTAAGGATTACACTTTTCCTGGAATAACAAGCTCATTCAACACTCACAGCGCTGCAATGCCAGGGCACAGTGTGAATGGAGTTTACATAATTAATAACTGCTGCCTTGATATAATAGCATAAAATTCCTAATGAAGGTAGCATTCAAGAGCATGTTGTGCATAGTTTACAATACAGATTCTTATAGCTTAAACATTATACTGACTGCTTCTTTTGTCACTTTTACTTTTGAAATGATACTAATCTTTTCTAGCAATATTTTTGTTTCGTAAAGCAGCTTCGGAACAATATGTTTCTTGAACAGACTTTGATGTTTGACAATACAATCTAGACTCTAGCTGGCCACAGGAATGTGAATGTTTGCCCAGACGAAACATTGAAAAATCTCCCAGAGCCCTCTCGTGATTTTTTCCTTTATACAACAAGTCAGATATCTTGACAATATTATCTTCTTCCCCTTCCTCCATTTCTTTCAGATTATGTGATGTGTGGTGAAATATTATATACGTCACAGGAACTTTGGCTCTGGCTTTATTAAGACTATTAAGATGACTTACAATCGATTTGACTCTCATGACAGAAGTGACCTTATTTTACCAGT